TGTTGTGTGTGGTGTGTGTCGTGTTGTGTGTGTGTGGGTGTGTGTCGTGTTGTGTGTCGTGTTGTGTGTGTGTTGTGGGTGTCGTGTTGTGTGTGTGTGTCGTGTTGTGTGTGTGTGTCGTGTTGTGTGTGTGTGGGTGTCGTGTTGTGTGTGTGTGGGTGTGTGTCGTGTTGTGTGTGTGTGTGTGTCGTGTTGTGTGTGTGTGGGTGTGTGTCGTGTTGTGTGTCGTGTTGTGTGTGTGTGTGTCGTGTTGTGTGTGTGTGGGTGTCGTGTTGTGTGTGTGTGTGTCGTGTGTGTGTGTCGTGTTGTGTGTGTGTGGGTGTGTGTCGTGTTGTGTGTCGTGTTGTGTGTGTGTGGGTGTGTGTCGTGTTGTGTGTGTGTGTGGGTGTGTGTCGTGTGTGTGTGTGGTGTGTGTCGTGTTGTGTGTGTGTTGGTGTGTGTCGTGTTGTGTGTGTGTGGGTGTGTGTCGTGTTGTGTGTGTGTGGGTGTCGTGTTGTGTGTGTGTTGGTGTGTGTGTGTGTCGTGTTGTGTGTGTGTCGTGTTGTGTGTGTGTGTCGTGTTGTGTGTGTGTGTCGTGTTGTGTGTGTGTGTGTCGTGTTGTGTGTGTGTCGTGTTGTGTGTGTGTGTGTCGTGTTGTGTGTGTGTGTGTCGTGTTGTGTGTGTGTCGTGTTGTGTGTGTGTGGGTGTCGTGTTGTGTGTGTGTGTGTCGTGTTGTGTGTGTGTGTGTGTCGTGTTTGTGTGTGTGTGTCGTGTTGTGTGTGTGTGGGTGTCGTGTTGTGTGTGTGTTGGTGTGTGTGTGTGGGTGTCGTGTTGTGTGTGTGTGTGTGTCGTGTTGTGTGTGTGTCGTGTGTGTGTGTGTCGTGTGTGTGTGTGTGGGTGTGTGTCGTGTTGTGTGTCGTGTTGTGTGTGTGTGTGTGTTTGTGTGTCGTGTTGTTTGTGTGTGTCGTGTTGTGTGTGTGTGGGTGTCGTGTTGTTGTGTGTGGGTGTGTGTCGTGTTGTGTGTGTGTGTGTGTCGTGTTGTGTGTGTGTGTGTCGTGTTGTGTGTGTGTGGGTGTGTGTCGTGTTGTGTGTCGTGTTGTGTGTGTGTGTGTCGTGTTGTGTGTGTGTGGGTGTCGTGTTGTGTGTGTGTGTGTCGTGTGTGTGTGTGTCGTGTTGTGTGTGTTGGGTGTGTGTCGTGTTGTGTCGTGTTGTGTGTGTGGGTGTGTGTCGTGTTGTGTGTGGGTGTGTGTCGTGTTGTGTGGGTGTGTGTCGTGTTTGTGTGTGTGTTGGTGTGTGTCGTGTTTGTGTGTGTGGGTGTGTGTCGTGTTGTGTGTCGTGTTGTGTGTGTGTGGGTGTCGTGTTGTGTGTTGTTGGTGTGTGTGTTGTGTGTGTCGTGTTGTGTGTGTGTCGTGTTGTGTGTGTGTGTGTCGTGTTGTGTGTTGTGTGTGTCGTGTTGTGTGTTGTGTGGGTGTCGTGTTGTGTGTGTGTGTGTCGTGTTGTGTGTGTGTCGTGTTGTGTGTGTGTGTGTCGTGTTGTGTGTGTGTGTCGTGTTGTGTGTGTGTCGTGTTGTGTGTGTGTGGTGTCGTGTTGTGTGTGTGTGTGTCGTGTTGTGTGTGTGTGTGTCGTGTTGTGTGTGTGTGTGTCGTGTTGTGTGTGTGTGGGTGTGTGTCGTGTTGTGTGTCGTGTTGTGTGTGTGTGGGTGTCGTGTGTGTGTGTGTCGTGTTGTGTGTGTGTGGGTGTCGTGTTGGTGTGTGTGTGTGTCGTGTGTGTGTGTGTCGTGTTGTGTGTGTGTGTGTCGTGTTGTGTGTGTGTGTGTCGTGTTGTGTGTGTGTGGGTGTGTGTCGTGTTGTGTGTCGTGTTGTGTGTGTGTGTGTCGTGTTGTGTGTGTGTGGGTGTCGTGTTGTGTTGTGTGTGTGTCGTGTGTGTGTGTGTCGTGTTGTTGTGTGTGTCGTGTTGTGTGTGTGTGGGTGTCGTGTTGTGTGTGTGTGTCGTGTGTGTGTGTGTCGTGTTGTGTGTGTGTGTGTCGTGTTGGGGTGTGTGTGTGTGGGTGTCGTGTTGTGTGTCGTGTTGTGTGTGTGTGGGTGTCGTGTTGTGTGTGTGTGTGTGTCGTGTTGTGTGTGTGTCGTGTGTGTCGTGTTGTGTGTGTGTTGGTGTGTGTCGTGTTGTGTGTGTGTTGGTGTGTGTCGTGTTGTGTGTGTGTGGGTGTGTGTGTGTGGGTGTCGTGTTGTGTGTCGTGTTGTGTGTGTGTCGTGTGTGTCGTGTTGTGTGTGTGTCGTGTGTGTCGTGTTGTGTGTGTGTTGGTGTGTGTCGTGTTGTGTGTGTGTTGGTGTGTGTCGTGTTGTGGTGTGTGGGTGTGTGTCGTGTTCTGTGTGGGTGTGTGTCGTGTTGTGTGTGTGGGGAGCGGTAGTGTAGCGGTTAGCGCGCTGCGCTACGAACCTGGCGACCCGGGTTCGATTCCTGCTCACGGCCAACGCCGGTGACAATTATCTGAACCGGTCATGTGCCTCCCCTAGGTCGACTCAGCCTCAAATTAGTACCCGGCGCGATGTGTAAACCTCGCCACTGGGGAGACAAAGGCGGCCGGGCGTGGTTCGTGGCCACCCCACCCCCTCGTGTGCCGTGCCGCCCTTCACAGGTGCTCGCTGACATCACTTGCCCCAACAGTCTGTGCAGGCTTTTACGGGGGATCTTTGTCTTTGTCATAGAGTGTAAGTGCTGCTCTCACGAATCCCTCATTCTAACCTGAGACAGCCCGCACTGACCGGCGCGGTGAAGTATGGTCAATCAAATAACCCTCCCAAGTAATTCTACACGTCGTGGTGAGGCCCTCATAGAGCAACGGATCGACAAAGGGCGTTGTTGTTGTTGTTTTTAAAAAAATATAGATTTTATTGGTGGAACGGTGGCGCGGTGGTTAGCGCACTGAGCTACAAACCGCGGCTCTCATCAGTGGCGAGTGAGTGATTTCTGAACCGATCACGTGGGGTCCTCAGCCACTGTCACCCTCACCAAACCACGCTAACCTGCGCGGCGAGGTCAAAGAGCAACCCCCACCCCCCCCCCCCCATGTCCGACACGGCGTGGGGAGGCCTTCATCCAGCAGTGGACTGAGCATGACAACGGATGCATCACAGGCGGGCTGGGTCTTTATAGAGTCAACACCAAAATCACCTCCTGCCCACATGCGCATCGCGGTACACCGGTGTTTACCCGCTGTTTTAAAGCCCCGCAGGGGCAGTGGCGACAATTCCACATTCCTATGGCGGTGCGAGTCTCCCCACAGGGCGATAACTGCTGACTTCGCAACAAGTTGATACTTCTTTATCGACCCTGGAAGGATGATGGGGTGAATTAACCCCCCTATCACTGCCCCAGGCAGGTTTGGAGCTCGCTGTGCCGTTGAGCCACCTGGCTCGAGGGGTCACGTGGCTCGAGGGGTCACGTGGTGCATAGATTCACCTGGCCTCATAAAGTCACGTGGCGCATCGAGAGACGAATAGTCGCTGATGTCGGCGGACGGACAGGAGATGATTGATGATTGCTTCGTGGAGGGAGTTGTGAGAGCTAATTAGGACGACGCGGAGAGAGGAGGTGAGGCTGTCGGAGATCCACCACGCGTCCACCCCACTCCCATCAAACACCACGGGGGCGGGTGATGATGCTGATGATCGTGGTGGTGACGGCGAGGACGAGAGTGGCGATGTAAATGGGGACGACGATAATGATGATGATGACGGTCATGTCCAGGAGATTTGTCCAAAGATAATGGAACTCGCGATGATGATGATGACAATGATGATCATCATCATCATCATCATCACGTGAATGATCTCAATCAAGTACTCACACCGGCGGTGATGATATTAATGATGATCATGCATTGGATGGCAATTATAATCAAAGATAACGGAACGCTTGATGATGATGATTGCTATCGTCATTGTGATCTTAATAATCTCCAGCCAATGCTCACACCATGATGATTGTAATGATCGTGATGATGACATTTTTAAAATCATGATAATGGTCGTGACGATGATGATGGTGGTAAAAAAAATGACGGTAGTGGAGGTGATTGAGACAATAGTCGTGGTGATGATGATGGTGGTGCTGGTGGTGATGACGATGACGGTGATAACAGAGGAGGATGTCCCACGGCATTCACGGGGTCCGGGATCAAACTCGGTCGCCTCATCACTCGGGTGCAGCGGCGCGCTCTATCGCAGTGTGAGCGCCCCCCCCCCCCCGTCTCTCTCCCATCTCTCTCGTCTCCCGTCTCTCCTGCAGTCTACAATGACATTAGCGACGTCGTTCTTCCTTCATCACCAATCGCCTCTCCTTCGTGTGAAACACCATCACCACCATCATCACCACCATCACCACCACAATCACCATCACCACCACAATCACCATCATCACTACCATCACCACCATAATCACCACCATCACCACCATCACCACCATAATCACCATCATCACCACCATCATCACTACCATCACCACCATCACCACCATCATCACCATCATCACCACCATCACCACCATCACCACCATCATCACCATCATCACCACCATCACCTCCATCACCACCATCATCACCATCATCACCACCATCACCTCCATCTCCGAGTCTTCAATGACCTTAGTACGTGTACCCTCTCCTGCCACTCTCTCTCTCTCTCATCACCATCATCATATCTCCTTCGCATAGAACACCATCATCACCATCTCTCTCTCCCATCACCATCATCACCTCTCTCTCTCATCACCTCTCTCCCATCACCACCACCATCACCACCTCTCTTTCTCTCATCACCACTACCTTCACTACCAATATCACCTCTCCCTCCCATCACCGCTACATCACCATCCCTCTCCTCTACTCTGCAATGACCTTAGCACGTCCCCCCCCCCCTCTCTCTCGATCTCTCTCCCATCACAACTGCCACCTCCTCTCGATTGCGTAAAGCTCCATCACCACCATCATTACCATCACCATCATCACATCCGGACAAACTCACCTTCTGCGGGTGCTTCATGATGTCTCGCAGTGTCCCTTCCTCACTCTCCCCGTGTCTCTCTCGTCTCTCTCCCCGTGCGCGCTCTCTCCCCCTCTCCACTCTCCCCCCCTCTCCCCCACGCTCCTCCCCCCACACCCCCCCCCCCCCCAATCTCCCGGTCGCTTTGCCCGGAGTTGATAGCACGGGTAGTGCGGACTCGACTATTATTACACGAGAGGGAGGTGAAGAAATATCTGGATACCAGTAGCAGAGAAAAATAGCGATATCAATGATAAATATAGATTTTTTTTTAAAATATTTAAATTCATTTCTTTCAAATTTCTATACAAATGTGTATGTGTTTTATAGCTAAGCTAGTTTCATCAAAGTATGCCCGCCACTGCCCCTCCTCCCCGGGTAGAGTGGAATAGTCTTGGGTTCGGCTGAGCCGGTGATTTCGGATTCCCCCCCCCCCTCCCCTCTGTGAGAAGTGGACTCGTCTACGCGTGCGGAGCGAATGCCTTTGAAGGAGCTGTGTGGAGAGGTTGGGTGACACCACGCCACGCTGTGCCACACCATGGCACGCCACGGCACGCCGTGCCATGGCACGCCACGGCACGCCGTGCCATGGCACGCCACGGCACGCCGTGCCATGGCACGCCACGGCACGCCGTGCCATGGCACGCCACGGCACGCCGTGCCACGCTCCACCACTGTAAACATCCCAACGTGAAGAAGCGTTCTTTTTCTTTATTCTTCCAATCTACAACTGGACGAATGCGTCTCGACCCCCGCCGAGACGGATCGAGAGGGCCGCTGCACCATACTTCACCACGCTGGTCATTGCGGGTGCGGTGCAAGAAGGGGGAGGGAGGGAGGGGGGTGGTGAATTAGGAGAAGCGGTTGACTGGTTCAGGTATCACTCGGCATTGATATCGGCCTTGATCGGACGGTGTAATTCCTTCCCCGATCACCGCCTCGGCTCTTCGGTGCAGAATCCAGAACGGTTGTAACGCCCCCGGGGTGCGAGACTCCGCGCAGGCAAAGACAAAGATCCCCCCAGCTCCCGTGTAGCCTTTGACGGGCTATTGGGGCAAGTGCCGAGTAGCGAGTGGCACCAATGAAGGCCGGCACGGCACACGAAGCGGGTTGGTGGGTTTGCTGGTACAGTACCACGCCGGGCCGCCTTTGTCTCTCCTCGTAGCGACGTTTATACATCCCGCATAGGTTACTCCTTTGAGGCCGAGTCGATTTGGGGGAGACCCAGAACTGGTTCGGGTAATCACTGGTGCTGGTGGCCGTGGGGGTGGAGGGGGGGGGGGTGATTGAACTCGGTTCGTAGCGCAGTGCGCTAACCGCTGCGCCACCGCTCCCCTCCGGCCAGAATGCATGAGCCGCTGCTGTTTGCAGCGTGGTGTACGCGGACCTCGCAACAGCACGGGACATCAGCTGTCAGGCTCCACTCATTCACACGCACGGTCAATTACAACACTCACACCTGCGTCTGTTACAGTCGGACTTACATGAGAGATTGACCGGCGGTGTCTCGGGATGCCTGTGCGCGTGTCTGTGTGTGTGTGCGCAGCGGTATCGCCACCGAGGGAGACAAAGGCGGTCGGGCGTGGTGCTGGCCACCCACCACCTCGTGTGCCGTGCCGGCCTTCATCAGTTTCATTTATTAGGTAAAGCCCTGTGAGCCGTGCGGCTCTTGACTCGGGCGCAGCACCTTCAAAGGCGCTGCTCGCTAACAGCACTTGCCCCAACAGTCGGTTAAGGCTATACGGGGGATCTTTGTCTTTGGAACCGGTAGTGTAGCAGTTATCGCGCTGCGCTATTAACCCGGCGACCCGAGTTCGATTCCCGCTCACGGCCACCACCGGTGACGATTATTTGAACCGGTCCTGGGCCTCTCCTAGGTCGACTCGGCCTCAAACGACTAACTGGTGTGGTATGTGAACATCGCCACTGGGGAGACAAAGGCGGCCGGGCGTGGTGCTGGCCACCCACCCCCTCGTGTACCGTGCCGGCCTTCATAGGTGCTACTCGCTCACAGCACTTGCCCCAACATGATTTTGAGCCTTTACGGGGGATCTTTGTCTTTTTGTGACATTGGTTTATATTAATGCGTAGGTGTAGAGGTTATACATCGAGGATGGTTGTGTAGGCGTCTTCATGCGCTTGCTATGTGTGGGTGCGTGTCTGTGTATCTGTATTAAGGAGCGGTGACGCAGTGGTTAGCGCGATACGAAACGGGCGATTTCAAACCCGGCCGATCCAAGTTTGATTCCCACTTCAGGTGCCACCAACACCGGTGACGATTATCTGAACCCGTTCTGGGCCTCCCCTAGGTCGGCTCAGGCTCAAATGAGTCACCGCTGCGATGTGTAAACGTCGCTACTTCGGAGACAAAGGCGGCCGGGCGTGGTGCTGGCCACTCCATCCCGGTCTTGATAGGTGCTGCTACTCGCTAACCGCACTTGCCGCAAAGGTCTGCTCGAGGCTACACGGGGGACCTTTGTCATTACGTGTTTGCTGGGCTCACCCAGACGTTCAGTCTCAGGGGATTGTCCAGGTGAACATTTTGATTCACGAATGAAATTAAGCCTCTCTCACACTCTCTCTCACGCTCTCGCTCTCTCTCACGCTCTCTCACTTTCTCACTCACACGCTCTCGCTATCTCTCACGCTCTCTCACTCTCTCCCCAACTCTCTCGCTCTCTCTCACGCTCTCTCTCTCTCACACCCGAATCGGCGTGCCCATCTCACAGACCTTGCGCTCATTGCCATGCAGTAGAAGTACTGTCGTAGTAGCAGCAGCAGCAGCAACAGAAGCAGCAGTAACAGCAGCAGTAGCAGCAGCAGCAACAGCAGTAGCAACAGAGGCAGCAGTAACAGCAGCAGTAGCAACAGATGTTCACCATGTTGTGGTTGCCGATGGTTGAGAACATTGTAATGGTGATGATGATCGTGACGGTGATGATGGTTGTGGCGATTGGCCTCATGGTGATGTTAATGGCGGGTTTCCTCCAAGCCTCTCTCCCTCCCTCCCCAAACAGAAGACTCAGTAACGAACCACGACGCCACCCCCACAGCCCCTCCCCCCTAGCCCCCTCCCCCACATCCCCTCCCCCCTAGCCCCCTCCCCAACAGACCCTCCCCCCTAGCCCCCCCCCCCAACAGCCCCTCCCCCCTAGCCCCCCCCCTTCCTTCAAAACAGAATGGGACAGACCCGAGCCGGCACGGTGTCCCCCACATCCCCCACGGTAGATGAGGGGGGCAGGGGGGCAGACGAGGCTACGGTTTGGGGGGGGGGTGTAGTGGGGGGGGGAAGCAGCTGTCGGTGACGAGGCGAAGGAGCGCGACAGGTGTGGGGGGCTGAGGGGGGGGGGCAGAGAAGGAAGGGGGTGGGGAGGGGGGGAGATCAGACGAAGGGAGATTGGGAGGAAGAGGAGAAGGAGTGAAGGGATGAGATGATTAGCAAGGGAGATGATTAGCAAGGGAGATGGTTAGCAAGGGAGATGATTAAGAAGGGAGATTATTAAGAAGGGAGATTATTAAGAAGGGAGATTATTAAGAAGGGAGATTATTAAGAAGGGAGATTATTAAGAAGGGAGATTATTAAGAAGGGAAGCGCAGGAGAAGGGGGTCTGGGCTCAGGGGGTTGGAGTGAAAGGTGCGGGTCGGGAGTCAAGGTCGGGGTCACTGGTTGGGTCACGGGTGGGAGTCGAGGTCGGGGTCACTGGTTGGGTCACGGGTGGGAGTCGAGATCGAGTTGCCGTGAGGAGGGTTGGGGTTCAGGTCCAGGTGAGGGCTGTCGTGGAGTCAGCGTTGGGGGTTGAGTCCAGGTGAAGGGTCGGGCTCGAGGTTGAGCAGAAGCGGTGGACATTTGCGAATAAAATGCAAATGTAGCCAATAAAATACCTCTTCCCGTGCAACCTCTGCAATGTATCTAAGATTGTTCATCGCAAATTTAAACCGGTTATAACAATCGGTTAACCGGAACCGGCCCATTTAGCAAACTATTGAACTGGAACCGGTTCATCCGGTTTATGGTGCGCGCCCGAAGCGCACACGGATATCAAACCGATCCCGTTCCCAGGCGCTCAGTCCTCCTCAGCCTCGCGCGGGGGATGCTGACGGAACACCTCCCTCGACTCACCTCCTCCTCCACCACCTCCCCTCTACCACCTCCACCTCCTCCTCTACCACCTCCACCTCCTTCACCACCTCCTCAACGACCTCCTCCTCTACCATCTCATCCACCTCATCTTATCCTCCACCACTTCCTCTTTCTCCTCCACCACCACTGCCTCCACCACCTCTTTCTCCTACTCCACCACCACCACCTCCTCCTCCACCACCTCTACCACCTCCTCCTCTACCTCATCTTCCACCATCTCATCCTCAACGACCTCCTCAACGACCTCTTCCTCTACCACCTCCTCCTCCACCATCTCATTTTCTCCTCCACCACCTCTTTCTCCTCCTCCTCTACCACCACCTTCTCCTCCTCCACCTCCTCCTCCTCCTTCGGGCAGGGTCTCTGGGGAAGTACCCAGGGCAGGCATGGCAGCTGCGTGTGCTACGGCCCTGAACCTCGCCCATTGCCCCCTCCTACCCCGGCATCAGGAGGAGGAGAGGAGGGGGCGTGGGGGCGCGGAGATTCCAACCCCAGCTGCAGGCGATGCTCAAATTCTCGCCCGCAACTTTCATCAGCAAGCCGAGCTCCAGGCTATTGTGGGTTTGGGTTGGGTCCTACGTGGACGCCCGCCACCAGATGCCAAGCCAATGGTGAGTGGACACATCAACTCCAAGAACGGCAGGCGCATTTTACAGATGGCAAGCCAATGGTGAGTGGACACATCGACTCCAAGAACGGCAGACGCATCTTACAGATGCCAAGCCAATGGTGAGTGGACACATAGACTCCAAGAATGGCAGGCGCATCTTACAATGACAAGCCAATGGCGAGTGGACACAGACTCCAAGAATGGCAGGCGCATTTTACAGATGGCAAGCCAATGGTGAGTGGACACATCGACTCCAAGAATGGCAGGCGCATCTTACAGATGCCAAGCCAATGGTGAGTGGACACATAGACTCCAAGAATGGCAGGCGCATCTTACAGATGCCAAGC